ATTTCTTCCACCAGTTTTCATTGAAGGTTCTCCATGTCGTCATCCTAAAGAGCTCCTCATTCATTCTTAAAGGGGCTAATAATAATTGTGGCCACTTCCAATGTGCTAGGGCAGCAGCTGGGTGTACGCAATGGGTATAGGTGCTGCCCTCATGGACCTTTTTATTTTAGTGGCTATGTATTTATTTTAACATCCTTCAGATAAATTACGCAGCTAGCACCTGTGATTTCAGATATAATTGCTCAGGACATGTCGAAGTTTAAAAAATTGATTTTAAGCTTACTTTCTTTTTTTTTTTTGAAACAGGGTCTTGTTGTGTCACCCAGTCTGGAGTGCAGTGAGGGGATCATAGCCTCACTGCAACCTCAAACTTCTGGGCTCAGGCAATCACCCCATTCAGTCTTCTAAGTACTACAGGCACATACCACCATGCCCCAGTATTTTTTTTTTTTAAAGATGGACTCTCACTATGTTACCCAAGCTTATCTGGAACTCCTGGCCTCAAGTGATCCTCCTGCCTCAGCCTCCCAAAGGGCTGGGATTCCGGGCATGAGCCACCATGCCTAGCCTGATTTTCTTTTTTATAATTAAGTAACAGTACAGGCAAAATCAAACTCTTGATTCCCCCTGCCCCAGGGTGCCCCTCTTCCAGGGCTCCCTCACCTAATAAATGGCACCACTGTTGTTTAACCCAAAACCTTAAGAGTCCTTTTTGACTCTTCTTCTGTTATGCACCTCACATTCAATCCATCAGCAAATCACGTCACCTCTTCCTCCAAAACACAACTGGAATCTGACACTTCCCACCATTCCTCTGCCATGCCCATGGCCAAGCCACCTTCTCACACCTGGATGACTCTAGGAGTCTCTTACGAGGTCCCAGGCTTCCACTCTAACCATTCAAACTCAAAAGAAGGATTTTTCGGCGGGGTGCGGTGGCTCATGCCTGTAATCCCAGCACTTTGGGAGGCCGAGGTGGGCGGATCACGAGGTCAGAAGATCAAGACCATCCTGGCTATCACGGTGAAACCCCGTCTGTACTAAAAAAAAAAAAAAAATACAGAAAGTTAGCTGGGTGTGGTGGCAGGCGCCTGTAGTCCCAGCTACTCAGGAGGTTGAGGCAGAAGAATGGCGTGAATCCAGGAGGCGGAGCTTGCAGGGAGCTGAGATTGCGCCACTGCACTACAGCTGGGGCAACAGAGCGAGACTCTGCCACAAAAAAAAAAAAAACAAAGAGGGATTTTTCTCCAATCATAAGTCACATCACATCAGGTCCCTAGTCAACCTGCTCGCCAGGAAAGCTTCGCATCACATGAAGAATGGAATCCAGAGGCCACATCAGGACCTGTGAAGCCCAGCATGGCCCCCGGCTTCCTCAGACCTCAGCTACTCCCATGCTCCCCCAAAGCACTCCACCCAGCTGCACCAGCACCCCTGAGGCTACTGAAACAGCAGCCTTTGCATCTCTGCTCCCTTGGGCAGGAACGCTGCCCCCATTTCCCCCTTTTCATCTCATCAAATGTAGAGAAGTCTTCCCTTACCACCCTGTCCAAAATGGCACCCCCAGCATTCTGTGTGTGAATCCAGACTGCTCCTCACAGCACCACCTGATGCTGTAGTGTGGATATTACAATATCACAGATGATCTGTATCTGTTCAGTGCTCACTGTCTGTGCCCTTTACTAGACCATCAGCTCCACAAAGGCGGTGTCTCCTGCACCTGCAGGGTGCCTAGCATATAGTAAGTGCTCAGGGACATTTAAGGGAATGAACAGCAGACATTCACTCATGGCAGCACTGAAGGTAGAAGTTTCTGGTTAGCTGGCAACCAAGCCAGGTTAGTAGTGGAACGTGTCAGTTCCTTTAACACCAACAATACTCCCCAGAGTCCTCTTGGTTTGGAGAAACTAAGGCTCAGGGACATAAAGTGATTTGCCCAAAGCCAGTATGAGACTAATACTGTTTTATCCGGCTGAAAGGTCTAGGTCTTTTTGAACACATCAAGCTTTCCTTAGAACCTCTTTGTGGCCAGGCACAGTGGCTCACACCTGTAATCCTAGCACTTTGGGCAGATTGCTTGAGCCAGGAGTTCAAGACCAGCCTAGGCAATGTGGTGAAACCGTATCTCTACTAAAAATACAAAAGTTGGCCGGGCACGGTGGCTCAAGCCTGTAATCCCAGCACTTTGGGAGGCCGAGACGGGCGGATCACGAGGTCAGGAGATCGAGACCATCCTGGCTAACACAATGAAACCCCGTCTCCACTAAAAATACAAAAAAATTAGCCAGGCGTGGTGGCGGCGCCTGTAGTCCCAGCTACTCGGGAGGCTGAGGCAGGAGAATGGCGGGAACCCGGGAGGCGGAGCTTGCAGTGAGCCGAGATCGCGCCACTGCACTCCAGCCTGGGCGACAGAGCGAGACTCCGCCTCAAAAAAAAAAAAAAAAAAATACAAAAGTTAGCTGGTGTGGTGGTGCACACCTGTAATCCCAGCTACTTGGGAGGCTGAGGCACAAGAATCACTTGAACCCAGGAAGCAGAGGTTGCAGTGAGCCGAGATCATACCACTTCACTCCAGTCTGGCCAACAGAGTGAGATCCTGTCTCCTCCACACCCCCACAAAAAAGTTTTTTGCTTCCAAAGACCTTTTAAGGTACCACAGTGCCTGCGATGATGCTCCACCAAGTGATCTACCAAGTGGTCCCAGTATACCCTTGCAAATGCCATTCCTGCGAACCCCCAGTGACCCAGACAAATTAGGCCACTCTGCAGCCCCTCAATACATAGACTTGTAATACTAATTGTATTTAACTTGTGAAAAGCTTAACAAACACATGCACACATATTTAAACATCTGTCCTTAGCCAGATGCGGTGGCTCACGCCTGGAATCCCAGCACTTTGGGAGGCCAAGGCAGGAGGATTGCTTGCACCCAGGAGTCTAGACCAGCCTGGGCAACATGGTGAAACGCCATCTCTAGGAAGAAAAACAAAAATAAAAACACACACACATGTCCTCCTGGAATGGCCCTCCTCTCCTCTGCCTGGTAAACTCCTATCATCCTTTAAAGCCTTTAAAATTCTCTGCTGTCCACCCAGGGCTCTTGACACAGGTCTACGACAACACGACAGTGCCCCAGGTATTGTACCAGTGGCATATGCTCCTTCTCCCAAGCTGGTCTGCAAATGCAGTGAGGGTGGGCAACACGCCTCATTCATCTTTGCCCAGCAGCCACAGAGCAGCAGCCCTCACAGGCATCTCTGAATGCAGGTGTCTGAGCTGAGCTGCTCTCCCCAGACTTGAGACAGTGGATGTGACATCAGCAAGCCCTACACATCACCTGGACATCCGTACACCCTGTGAGAAGGGATGTTCTGATCATCATGAGGGTGGAGGGGCCTTCTGAGGACATCCCTGCCATCCCTTTGCCTTGCACCAAGATGCAATGTGTTTAAAGCTAACTATTCTTTCTTTAAAAAAGGCCACCACCACCTGGAGAAACACATTCTGGGGCTAGTAGAGCTGGCCTTCTGACTAATACAATTCCCTTCGGTTCCATCACATCTAGGAAGGGGAGAAGCTGGCAGCCACATGACCCAGGTGTCTGCTCTCTTCTCAGCAAGCCAACTCAGCCTGCACCATTTACCATTTTCCCTCCCAATGTCACAATCCAACTAGCGTTTCCCAAACCCTAACTACAGTGGGGACATTTATACAGGGACTTTGTCCTCCGGAAACTTACAAAGCAGAGGGCCAGCTGTCTAAAGTCAATGCCAACTCAGTAACAAGACAGACCTGCCCAGTAGTAATAAAATAAAGGGGCAGCAAAGATGTGGAGGGGAAGACAGCAATCCCCACTGGGGAGGCCTGGGAACTGTGCTCCTGGGAGAATAATTTCAAGGCTCTGCTTCCAGGTTATCCCTGAGCCAATGTCTGCTCACTTCTCTGAAGCCAAGGGCAAGCACTGGACCTGGCTACAAACGTTACTCATCCTTTCACAAGTATTTATTGAGTGCCCAGCACATGGTGGTAGGTATTAGAGACACAGCGGTAAACAAATCACAGGTCCCTGTTTTTAAGTTTACTTTTTCTAGTACAGGAGGCAGACAAGTCCATAGGCAATTCCAACACAGTGCCACGAACAGGGAGGACCCAGGAGGCCGGCACCCTACCCTGGTAGGTCAGAGTCGGCCATGGTGCCAACAAGCGTGTGCATCTATGTTCACATGCGCGTCAGAGGACGCAGGGCCTGGAAGACAGCGCCAAACCCATGAGGGTCCAGACTGGGGATAGGGATGAGTCTGAAGACAATTCTTCCACTCAGCGCTCTCGCCTTAAGAGAAGGAAACTGAGGCTGAGGGAGACACAGTCAGTTAGAGCCAGGACCAGAACCCAGTGACAGTCACCACTGGTCATTCCTTTAGTACAGTCCAGGGATTAAGGAGGTTTCTGGAATCACACTGCCTGATTTTTAATCCTGCCTCGATACTTACCATTTGTGTGGCCTTAGGCAAACGACCACCTCTGTGTCTCCGTCTATCAAAGAGGGATAACAGTAGCACCTATGTCAGGGGGCTGCTACGAAAATGAAACTGACAAATGTAAAGCAATTAACACAACGCCAGGGATGCTGTAAGCGGTACACAGTGGATGCTGCTGTTATCATTGCACGACTGCTCGGTGCCGCAGTGGGCTCGAGACTCGGGTAGCTCTGCTGCCGCGCGCCGTGTTCCTTTCTGGATCCAGCACGCTCCCGCCCTCGACGCCCGGCAGCAGCAGCCCACAGCCCCAATTCCTTTGATCCCGGGGGCCGGGCCCGCCGCGCACACACGCCCCGGCCTCGGGAAAGAGGGGGCTAGCCCGAGGAGAGGAGAAGGAGGCTGACACACCCCACCACGGAGAGGGCGGCTGTCCAAAATCGGAGAAGGAGCCGTTCCTGCACCCGACAGCCCCCCACGCCCAGACTCCCAACCCCAAGCCCGGAGAGCGGGCCAGTTCCTCACACTCTGCAGCAGGCTCCTCCTCTGCGCCGCCATCTTGGAGGAACCCCTGCAGGCTCGCCCGCCTCCCCGCAGAGCAACGAGTGGGGCGGCTAGAGCGGCCCGAAGGAGTCGAGGATGACCGCGCTGCCGGGGAGCATGCGCTTAGCGCCACCCCACGGCCGAAGAGGGATGGGGCCGTAGCGGACCGTGTGCGCAGGCGCGCTCTTGAACGGTTTTTTGTTTTTCCCCGGGGTGGATTGCTCCTCGCTCATCTTTATTTTTTAGTTTTTGAGATAGGGTCTCACTCTGTCACGCAGGCTGGAGTGCAGTGGCGCGATCACAGCTCCCTGCAACCTCTGCCTCCCGGCCTCAAGCGATTCTCCTGCCTCAGCCTCCCGAGTAGCTGGGACTACAGGCATGAGCCACCACGCCCGGATAATTTTGTATTTTTAGTAGAGACGGGTTTTCGCCATGTTGGCCAGGCTGGTCTTGAACTCCTGAGGGTTCTTTGTGAACACAGTTGGGGCGGGGGAGGACAATTCATTAACTCAGCAAATGCTCACTAGGTGACCCCGCCTGGCTCCATAGTGGGTTCTGCAGCAAGAAAGACCGGCCGTCAAAAAGCTAACATTTTATTTTATTTTATTTTATTTTATTTTATTTTATTTTATTTTATTTTGTTTTGTTTTGTTTATTTATGAGACGGACGCTTGCTCTGTCACCCAGGCTGGAATGCAATGGTGTGATCTGGGCTCACTGCAACCTCTGTCTCCTGGGTTCAAGTGATTCTCCTGCCTCAGCCTCCCGAGTAGCTGGGGTTACAGGCACCCGCCACCACCACTGGCTAATCTTTTACATTTTTTGTAGAGATGGGGTACCACTATGTTGGCCAGGCTGGTCTCAAACTCCTGGCCTAAAACGATTCTTCTGCCTGGGCCTCCCAAAGTCCTGGGATTACAAATGTGAGCCACCCCGCCCAACCTAAAATGTTAATATTTTAATTGGAGAGGACAACATTTAGGTATATAAGACATTCCAAGTGGTAGTAAATGCTAAGAAGTGAAGTTTGTGGATGGTGGCATGGGGGTGAGGTGTTAGCTGGCAACAGGGAAGACCAGGCCAGGGGGATAGGACACCTAGTGCAGAAGTCCCAAGGAAAGGGTGCCTGTGGGTTCAAAAAGCACGCTTGTTGGCTGGGCGCTGTGGCTTATGCCTGTAATCCCAGCACTTTGGGCGAGGGCCTGAGGCCGGGTAGAATTCATCCAGCCCTGGAGGTCCAGGGGAGTTCGGAAGACCCTCCACTACAAGCCGCTGGGCCACAACCAATGGGTGAAACCCCATCTCTACTAAAGACTACAAAACAAAATTAGCCAGGCATGGTGGTGCACGCCTGTAATCCCAGCTACTTAGGAGGCTGAAGCAGGAGAATCACTAGAACCTGGGAGGCGGAAGTCACAGTGAGCGGAGATCACTCCACTGTACTCCAGCCTGGGCAACAGAGCGAGACTCTCTCTCTCAAAAAAAAAAAAAAAAAGCACGCTTGTCACAGGAGCCCAGTGTGGCTTGCACAGAGATGAAGAAGGAGAGAGATGAAGGGGCTGTAGGGACAGGCTCTGACCAAGTGGGCCCCAGTCAGGAGTTTATTCATCTGGAGGACAGAGGGAAGTTGTTGCCTTCTAAGCAAGCCATTGACGGGGTCCCATTGGTAGAGAAATATTTGACTCCCAGGTTCAAGCGATTTTCCTGCCTCAACATCCCAAGTAGCTGGGATTACAGGCATGTGCCACCATGAGTGGCTAATTTTGTATTTTTAGTAGAGATGGGGTTTCTCCATGTTGGTCAGGCTCGTCTTGAACTCCCGACCTCAGGTGATCCGCCTGCCTTGCCCTCCCAAAAAGCTGGGATTAGAGGCATGAGCCATCACACCCGGTACCTTCTTGCTTTTTATATAATTAAACAAATGTTCATTTGCAAGCCATCTCTCCCTGACCCCCACCTTTTTTTTAAAAAAAAAAAGCAGGATTGGCTGGTCACGGTGGCTCAAGCCTGTAATCCCAGCACTTTGGGAGGCCAAGACGGGCGGATCACGAGATCAGGAGATTGAGACCATCCTGGCTAACACGGTGAAACCCCGTCTCTACTAAAAAATACAAAAAACTAGCCGGGCGAGGTGGCGGGCGCCTGTAGTCCCAGCTACTCGGGAGGCTGAAGCAGGAGAATGGCGTAAACCTGGGAGGCGGAGCTTGCAGTGAGCCGAGATCTGGCCACTGCACTCCAGCCTGGGCAACAGAGCGAGACTCCGTCTCAAAAAAAAAAAAAAAAGCAGGATCTCACTATGTCGTGTCGTCCAGGCTGGAATGTGGTGGCACAATCATGGCTCATGGCAGCCTCAAGCTTCTGGGCTCAAGTGATTCTCCCACCTCAGCTTCCCAGGTAGCTGCGACTACAGCATGTGCCACTGCACCCAGCTAATTTTTGTATTTTTGTAGAGACAGGCTATCACCATGTTGCCCAGGCTGGTGTCAAACACCTGAGCTCAAAAGATCCTCCCAGGCTGGGCGTGGTGGCTCATGCCTGTAATCCCAGCACTTTGGGAGGCCGAGGTGGGCAGATCACGAGGTCAGGAGATCAAGACCATCCTGGCCAACATGGTGAAACCCCATCTCCACTAAAAATACAAAAAATTAGCCGGGCATGGTGGCATGTGCCTATAGTCTCAGCTACTTGGGAGGCTGAGGCAGGAGAGTCGCTTGAACCCGGGAGGCGGAGGTTGCAGTGAGCCAAGATCATGCCACCGTACTCCAGCCTGGGCGACAGAGTGAGATTCTTTCTCAAAAAAAAAAAAAAAAATTAGATGGGCGTGGCAGTGTGTGGTTGTAATCCCAGCTACTCCGGAGGCTGAGGCAGGAGAACTGCTTGAACCGGGGAGGCGGAGGTTGCAGTGAGCTGATATCACGCCACTGCACAACAGAGTGAGATTCCGTTTCAAAAAAAAAAAAAAAATTATCCCTGCTTGGCCTCCCAAAGTGCTGGGATTACAGGCGTGGGCCACCACACCCGGCCATTACTATCTTTGTTTTTAAAACCCCTACCTCCCAGGGATGTTACAAGGATTAAATAAAGTAACATCTTCCAAGCCTTTAGCACAGGAACAGAATCTGCTCCAAATATGTGGCTTCTCTTCTCTTCCCGAGACCCGTTTCCCCACGCTCATGCCATATGCTTCTACCATTTCACCTTGGGATGCTGTCAACAGTTCCAAAAACACAGAAGGTGCTTCCGAAGGCTGCGCCATTGGGTGCCCCAACTGCTTTTCGGCCAGTAATCACCTTCACCAAGATATCATTGCTCATCGGGCCTGGGACAAACTGAGTGGAGCCAGAAGCCCAAGAGAGGGGGCAGTTAATTCTGCTGATAGGGGTGGTCAGGGAAGACTTCACAGGGGAGGTGACCTTCCAGCTGGGTCTAGGAGGGCAGAGGGATCGAGCGGGCAGAGAAGATAGGAAGGGCATCTCAGGCCAAGGGATCACGTGGTCAAAGTGAAGGGGGATCTGGCAAAGCAGAAATAGATTGTGGCCGAAGCTGAGGAGGACAAATCAGGGAGGGATATGGGTGCACCAGAAGCAACTGGCTTTATCTTGTAATGGTAGGGATTCATTTAAGTGGGAGAGTCACATGATCATATTCGTGTTTCAGAGAGATCCCAGTGAGTCAGAAAGGAGGCAGGGAGACCAGTATTAGGAGCCTGCTGGGATAACCCAGAGAGAAGGAGGTGGCCTGGACCAGGGTGGTGGCCATGAGGATAAAAGAAATGGACAGTTTTCAAAACTATCCAAATAGGTCAAGTAGAAAGACTCTGGCAGTTGATTGGAAGCTGAAGAAAGGGTAGTGGAGGATGACTCCCAGGTTCCCGGCGCAGGCCATTGGCCCAGTGGTGGAGGATCTGCTGAGACAGGGCCACTGGAGGAGGGACAGGTCTGGGCCTGGCAGGTAGACAGAGCGCGGGGGGTGCAGAGGGGACGCTGAAACATTCACAGTGTGCAAAGCAGCATGTTACTCTAGGCATTTGAGGCATCTGCTGTGGAAGGGGAGAACGAAGGCAGTGACAGAAGGGATGGTTTAAGAAATATTTAGGATGTTAAGTCAATAAGATCTGGCGTATGCTTGGGTTTTTGAAAAGAGGGACAAATCTGGGATAATACCCAGAGGGGTGACTGGGAGATGATGGTGCCTTTTACTTAGATGATGAGCACAGGGAAAGGAGGAGATTTGGTGGGAAGATTCATGCATTAATTTGACAGTCCTCAATAGAGCACTTAGTACATCCCAGGTAAGCAGTGACAAGAGCACTGCCCTTATGAGACTTCCACATTTGGTGAGGAGAGATAGGTAATAAGTATGTCAGGTGATGACAAGTGCTATGGAGGAAAACAAAGTGGAGGTGGGCTGCCTTTTTTTTTTTTTTGAGATGGAGTCTTGCTCTTGTCGCCCAGGCTGGAGTGCAATGGCACGATCTCAGCTCACCACAACCTCCACCTCCTGGGTTCAAGTCAGTCTCCTGCCTCAGCCTCCGAAGTTGCTAGGATTACATGCACACAAACCACGCCCGGCTAATTTTTTTTTTTTTTTTTTTTTTTGAGACGGAGTCTCACTCTGTCACCCAGGCTGGAGTGCAGTGACGCAACCACAACTCACTGAAGCCTCGACCTCCCAGGCTCAGGTGATTCTCCCACTTCAGTCTCCCGAGTAGCTGGGACTACAGGTGTGCCACCACACCTGGCTAATTTTCCATTTTGGTTTTTGTAGAGGCAGGGTTTTGCCATGTTGCCTAGGCTGGTCTCAAACTCTTGGGCTCAACTGATCTGACCGCCTCAGCCTCCCAAAGTGCTAGGATTACAAATATGAGCCACTTGGCCGGGGGTGGTGGCTCATACCTGTAATCCCAGCCTTTGGGAGGCCGAGACGGGCGAATCACGAGGTCAGGAGATGGAGACCATCCTGGCTAACACAGCCAAACACTGTCTCTACTAAAAAATACAAAAAATTAGCCGAGCGTGGTGACGGATGCCTGTAGTCCCA